GGCTGGCCTGGAACCATTATCCTTCTGATCTTTGTCTCCCATGTAGCTTGGACTGACAGGAATATGCCACTGCATCCGGCAGTAGCTGAGATGGTGTCTTGCCCAGTCTATCCTCCTATCCACTAGGATTACAGGCATGAGCCACTGGCACCTGGCTATAGCAGTCTTTCTCCAACTTACTAACATTCCCAAAGACCCCTTTTAACCTGGACTAAATCTTCCTACTGGTAGCATTCTGATAATAGTTGTGTGCAATAAGCCTTGGGATGGCAACATTGGAAACCTTATGACCCGCATCCACAGTGACCCTGGGGAAGGAACAGAGGTGAATTTGGGATGTCTGAGAATGGTGGGGGAATAGTGGAGTTGCTATCTTTGCAGATTGCCAGAAAAGCAACTTGGCACTGCACAATTGAGCATGCTTAATCGTTTAGTCCATAGATGAGCACTTTTATCTCCAGTTGTTTTTTGTTGTTTGTTTTAACTTCGGTTCCCCATTTTTACAGGACAGAGAAATGGACAGCCTGGGCAGCAACCACTCCATCCCAAGCATGTCCGTGAGCACTAGCAGTCAGAGCAGCAGCGTGAACAGCATGCAGGAGGTCCTGGATGAGAGCAGCTCCGACCTAGTCATGATGCATGAGGAAGAAAGCACCATGAACTCCAGCTCCTCTGTGGTACACAAGAAGGTGGGTCTCCTGGTGGCTTTGTCACTCAGTGAAATTGGCTCAGGCCACTCAGGATCTATATGGTTTAGTCTTCTTTTGGCAACTCAAAAGTGGGACTAAGTGTAGTGCTTGACAGCTTTCCTACAGTCAAAAGGTACCAAGGGACTGTGCAGGCAACACATGTTCCTACTTCTTCCTTTCTGCTTGCTCCGATGTCCAATACCATCAAGAAATAAAGGAAAGAATAAATCCCTACGTCTTCATGTCAAAGAATCTGACAAATCCTTCTTTCAACCAATGTCCATCACAGTACCAACCATCATGGTTAGCTTCCCACATGTGACCTATTGGCTGTGCCCTTCTAAAGGCATGTCATTCAGAAGTCTGTTTCATCCTCATCACCAGCGTGCCATTTGTTTTTAGAAATAGTTTCTACTCTTCTCTGCTGTTTCCTGGAGGTGCAGTCATTATGTACAATTCTTCAAAGGCTAACTCACTCCCAGCTTAGATATTTAGACTTTTGAATGAACAGTTTTGTTTTTTTCTTTTGATTTACATTTCTTATTAAAGATCCTCATTTTGTACAAGCTTATCATAAGTTGAAATTCTTCACAAAAAAGCAAACATTTTAAAGCTTCTTTCAAAGCAGTTTCTTGAAGGTAAGTTGTGATTATTAATAATTCTTTGTAGGAATTCTCCAACAGTGTTGAAGACTGTAGTAGCATAGTATGGAGTTAGAGAAAAGGGTCCTTATAATTTTTATGAGGTGTGTGTGAAGAATATATGAACTTATTTTAATGGCTGCTGTGATCATATTCTAATTCTATGAAAGAGCATGCTTAAGCTGTTTTTTGGTTTTGGGGTTTTTCTGGTCCCCTTGGGAGGAAAAAGAAATTGAATGGGAAACAAGGAAGGCAGTAGAACATCCACTGGGTGCCTAGTTGTGAAGAACAGAGGCACATGATTATTTTCTAGAACTGACGAATTTGATCATTTACTGAAGAAGTATTGGCCAGGTCCTGTGTGCCAGGCATTACATTGGACACCGGGAATGAGGCAGGCATAGTCTCTTCATGGGGAATCAACATGATCACACACAACCAATCATGTACTGTTCCTAGGACATTTGCTCCAGGTAAAAGGAAGACCTAGCCTAGCAGGAAGTAAAGGAAAACCTCCCCAAGTAGAGGTTTAGCCATTTAAGCTAAAACTTCAAACATGAGTAGAAGCCAGGTAGCTTGGAGTAAGAAATGGAGGAGTCAGAAAGCAGTAAGCACAAAGCCCTAAGGAAGAGTTAAGGAAGAGGAGAGAAGCCAGAGAGGCTAGGGCCTGCAAGTTGTATGGACAGCGAAGTTGGGGAGGCAGCAGGGACCCAAGATTATCAGGAAGACATTAAGTTTGACGAAAGGAGTGATATTAGAAGATGCAGAAATTTACTAGGCTCAGCAATGCCCTTGGCCTCTTTTGAACACAGGCAGGTGGTCATGCATTTGAAGGGTAGAAAAGGCTTCACTGGGCTCTGCTCCTAGAGGGAGATACCATGGGTGCTAGCAGGTCTGGCTCTCTCTTCTCTGTTGCCTATGGTTCTATGAGTAGAGGGAACAAAAGAAGAACATGTAGAATGGATCTTTTCATTCCAGGTCCTCTCAGATGGGCACGCAAAGTTAGAAGAAAGACACTCCTGGCACAGTCAACAAGAATGAAGAGCCTGGCCTAACTCGTCAGGGCCTTTACTTTGATTTTGACATGCTGCTATCATGTGATAGCAGGATTCTCTGATGGAATCACTTAAACGGAAGTGATGTAGTTGCATTTGATGCACAAACAAAACGTCTGGGAGAATCTAATTTATATGATGCATTCATATTTCATTGTGAAACATACAAAAGAAATGCAACGGAAGCGAATTTGAAATTTAAAACATAGGTAGGCTAGGAAAATTATAATATATGAAAACTCAAACATGCCACCTCTTTATGACATGTGTGTGTAACCTGAACCTGAAAGCAGGTTATCTTTAAAAACGATAGAAATACAAAATTATTCAGAGAGTTTAGATTTTGTTTTACTCAGATTCCTAACCCTTTAGAACATAAATGAAATAGGACTTTAACTCTCAAAAGAGCATTTTATACGTTAGGCGATAAGTGGAGTATAGGTACTACTCTCTGCTTCCGTCTGCCGCTGCTGGTTTGATTTTACTTTGGATAAGTCACAGACCTCTCTGGGCCTTTCCAGTTGAAAAAGATTCGTTCTGTATGATTTCTGAGGTTCTTGCAGGCCCAAAATCCTGGGCTTGTCTTCCTATAATCTTGGGATGTACAACTGTGAGAGGGAGGAGCACACAGCATCAGGCAAAGCAGAGACTAAACTAAGATGCAGGCCCCTGGAAGCTCCAGCCAGGCCCACAGCAGCTCTGGAGCTAAGATGGCCACTCAGAGTTGTTCATGCTGGACAGAAACAGCCAGGTCCACATGCCCCAGCCCACAGCAGTCACTGAATATGGGTGGGCAGGAAGTGTGTACACTTCCCCAAAGGAGCTGGCAGCTGGGGACCATTGCCAACAGCACTTCCACACGTTGGGGCCAGAAGTCCTTCCTAGAAGGGGATCTCACAATGCATTTCTCCGTCTATCATAATTTGTGACCACAAAGATTATTTTAGAAAGAAATCAAGCAGTATGGTTTCATGAAACATGGACCAGTTCCACCTGAGTGTCTAGAATCCCACAAACACCAATATGTCATCAAGTCGCCATACAGTGAACAATGTTCTAGCCTGATCTCATGGTCCCGCTTTATTTTTTTTTTAAAACTTTTCACCATATGAAATGACATTACATATTAGTTCATTGTTCATGACTGGAATGTAAATTCACTTAGGAAGGACTATGCCTGCCTTACTTAGCAGTGCATTTCCAACACCAGCGCTGTGCCTGGCACAGTGTAGACACTCACTAAATAGCTATACAATGCAAGCAAGGATAAGCTAGTTACCAAATTTTCAACATAATGCTAATCTAGTTCATGAAACATCATGGATTTAGTAGTTAAATAATCTTAAGTATTATCTTTACTTATTTACTTGGTGGTATTAATGTTTGAACTCAGGGCCCTGTGTTTGGTAGGCAGGTGCTCTACCAGTTGAGCCACATCTCTAGCTCTTTTTGCTTTAGTTATTTTTTGAATTGGGTTTCATGGTTTTTCCTGGAGCCAGCCTTATACTGCCACCTTCCTATTTATACTTCTCATGTAGCTGAGATGACAGACATGTACCACTATACCTAGCTTGTTGGTTAAGATGGGGTCTCATGTGCTGGAGGTGTGGCTCAAGTGATAGAGGACAAGGTCCTGAGCTCAAATCCTAGAACCACTTGGGATGGGGAAGGGAGGGAGCAAGGAAGGATTCTCCCAATCTGCACTGGGATTATAGGCATGAACTACACAACTGGTTTAAATGTTATCTCTATGGTTTGAAAGTGTCAGGTGAATTGTTTGCCCAGTAATAATACTTCAAAAAGATAAGAGCATGCTTAATAACTGCCAAAGGATAAGAAAAGAGGTGAGGAATTTTTATCACACTTAATCGTTACAGTCAAGCAGATATAGCCTAAACTAGTCAAATCCAGATCTGAAACAGATTATCATTTTACATAGGAAGAAAACTCATGTTTAAAGGCCATTTGTAACTAGTGAGTGCCTGACTTGCAGTTCACTGCCCTGCATCAGAATCAAGACAGCCTAGTTTTAGCAGGACAGGTGCACTGTCACCAATCAAACCCAGAAAATATAAGGTGGAACACTGAAATTTTTCCTTGGCAACAAAATTTCAGGTTATTCTGTCTCTAATCCTCGCCTCTACTTGGCTTTCCCAGGCCCAAAGGGTTCCTAACCAAATCTTACCTTTGATAATCTTTAAGCATTTATTCCTCTTTCCACACCATGATTTCACTATCAGGAGCCTCAGCTGTCCCTGGGCCATCACTCCTCAAGGACCCTCTGTCAGTCAGTCAGCACTCAATACATGTTCTGTGGACAGAACCAACAGTGGTCTTGTACAGGCTATGACTCTGGATCTCAGATCTTGATTATTCCAAAGTGAGCCTGGGGCAAACTTCCAATCCAGTGTAGATTCTTCGTTGACATCCATCCTGCTTCTGAGTCTCCATCCCACTCCTTAAAGTTACTGCAGATACAGCAGTAGCAAACATTGTCCAGCACAATAGTCTATTATATTTTTAATTTGTCAATTAAAGGTACACATAGCATCTGGGGATGTAGCTCAATAGTGCAATGGTAGAGTGTTCTGGCATCACAAGTCCCAGGGTTCAATCCCTGACATCACAAACTAAACAAAACAAAACAGACACACTTGTGTTTTGTTGAAGTCTAAAATCAGTTACCTGTACCTGCTGTTGCCATCTACGGGTGTACATCGTGAGACTTTAATTCATTGAAAGCACTGCTATTCGATCATTATTTTAGATGTGCTAAACTCCCATCATAGTGACCCGCCAAGGATCACATAGAGAAAATATTTGTAAAATCTCTATCTTAACGTTACTAAACTTCCTACTTTCCTAAAACTTTACTAACCTTCCTACTAGTCAGTGTTAGTTCTGTTCATTGTTACCTCTTCTTTTAAGAAAAAAAATAGCTTTCACCATTCTCATGAGGGAAAAAAGAAGTTTCCTTGAGGGGACATGTTGCTCTGTTTTAATTTTCCCTTGCTTTGGTGGCCTTCTGTGTTGTTTTTGCTGAACAGAGAGGCAGGTTTTTTTTGACTCCTTAGGTTCCATTTGGCAAAGTCACAGTAAATTAACATATGAAGGTTCAGAGCAGCCACCACCACTTGCCTCTATCACATAGAAGACAAGGTCTTCCACCTTCTGCTCCTGGTCGTCTTCCTCTCTCACTTCCCTTCTCCTTTTCCACCTTTTCCTCCTGCTCCTCTAGCCTCAGGTTGTGGTGACTATACCTGCTAACCACAGCCATTCAGTAATTTTGAAATGGACAAAACAAAGAACAGTCTGTGGGTTTGCTTCCCCCATCCACAGCGCAAAAAGTATGGGAGTCTGCAGAAAGGCCTCACATTGTCAGGTAAAAGCGATTTTTACACACACATCTGTGTGTGTCACTATTTCAGACTTTTTTAGAGTCCAGGTTTTTGTGAAATACGAATTTGAATTCTGCTAACTAATCCAAGAGAAAATAGGATTTTCTCAAATTTCCTCAGACCTAGACCCATGAGCTTATTCATTAACTAAACATTAACTAAATGCCTGCCTACTAAGTTCTAAGCACCAGGTGCTAGGGAGACTGAGATTCTTTCAAGTCACATTTCCTCTGCCTTTCAAAGTCCACAGCCTCACGAAGACACAGACAAGTTAAATATGTAATAGAGGTAGATCCCAAACACATTGCAGCCCAGCAGAATGGGTTCAGGGTCAAGTTCAAGTTCATACAAAATCTAGAGAAGTGATTACACCATGAAGCTTCATCTTAGAAGTGTCATGTTGGTGCCTGTGGCTCACACCTATAATCCTAACTACTCAGGAGGCAAAGATCAGGAGGATCAAAGTTCAAAGCCAGCCCAGGCAAATAGTTTGGGAGATGCTACCTTGAAAAAATAAAAAAAATCACAAAAAAAAAAAAAAAGATTAAAGCCCTTTGTCAAGAGTATAATACTAAAGTCTGTGCCTCTTACTTCAGATATTTCAATATATTGTATAACAATTTAGTTCTTTCCAGTGAAGATTTAGAACAAAAATTACACATTTTTATATCTGAGGAAGTTTATTTTATAATGAAAAGATGTTGTAGACCTGTCATGGTGGCCATGCCTGTAATCGCAGCTGCTCAGGAGGTAGAGGTAGGAAGACTACAGTCTGAGGCCAGCCCAGGCAAAAGCACCTGACCCTATCTCAACAAACTGACAGAAGCAAAAAGAGTAGGGGCATAGCACCTGCCTAGCAAGCGTGAGGCCCTAAGTTCAACCCCAGTACCGAGAAGGAAAAAACAAACAAACAAAAAACATTTCTTAGGGCTGAGGAGATACCCAAAGCTCTGGGTTCAATCCCTGACAATGCTTTTCCCCACCCTCCCAAAAAAAAGATTTCCTAATGGACTTCAAATGATTGTGTACTATTTGTTGTCTCTTATGTAACTATTTGAAGACTTTTATTGTTGGTGATCCCTGTGACCAAGCTGCTCTGGAACACTAAGAGTTTTATAAAAGGAAAAACATTTTAGGAGGGATTAAAGAATTATACTTTCAGTACTTTTCATTATATTTAAGGTACATTAAAAATTCAGTCCTATTCAGACTACCCTCTAACACAGTATTATTTTTAAATTCCCCTTAGTGGGCTATTTAATTTTACCCATGTATCAACTAAAGTGAATGTGATTTTGAGCTTTAACTTTTCCAGTGTAGTTCAATTTCCTTACATCTAATAAATGTAGGAAATCTCATGGCTTTTAATTTTTATCAGAGATAAACTAATAAAAGTGTACATATTTGTGCACAAGTTTCGTTGTTGACCTGTAGTACAGGCATTGTGGGCAGTGAGTACAGTCACTGGCTATTTTTGTAACTCAGGTTATTACTGTTTGCTGCTACACATTTGACCCCCCCACACTCCCCCTGTCTCGGTCAATGTGCTTATTAATAAGTTAGCTGATTTAGTCCTCATCAAAAGTATGACTCACTAAGGCTGCACATGAAGCCACGGCCTCTACCTGGTTTATCTCTCATGACTGCTGGCATTTAGAAGCTGCATGCTTTTCTGGGGCTGTCATTAAGTAAGTCTGATTTCAGATATAAGTATAATTTATTAATAAATACACAGTAATGAACTGGTGGCCAGTCCCCATGCCCTCCTCTTTAGAACCATAAATCTAGTGTGTGGGTTTCAGTGACTCACCAATCTCCCTTTTCTCTGGGAAATAAGAGTTCAGATACCCTGGAAAATAATACAGGATGATTTCACTTGACCCTTTAAGCATTTTTCTTATAAGTTTCAAAAACAAGTTGTTTTTGAATGTAGCCCAGGCTGGCCTTGAACTCTAAGTCCTCCTGCCTTAGCCTCCCCAGTGCTGGGATGACAGTTGTGCACCACCACGCCCTTTTAAGAGATGTGTTTTTAATTTGTAACATGGCCTAATACAAGTTTCTGCAGTGATGGAAATATTCTATATCTCTGTTGTCAACCTCGTATCCACCAACTTGGCTACTGCGTGCTTGAAATGTACCTGGTGTGACTTGGGAATGGACTTTTACATTTTCTCTTCACTTTTATTAATTTAAACAACCATATGTAGCCCAGGCGATCTTCCTGGCCAGCAGAGACATGAGACATCCCCTGGGTTGGGTATTCCCCAATAGCAAGTTTAGTAATTGTCTCTCATTATTTGACCTGGAAAAAAAAAATGCCTAAACATGGTTGTGGTGGTAAATTCCCTCCCCACATATCAGACACTTCAAAGTTATAAAAGGAAAAAAAATCAACCCTACCTGTAATAAATATAATCTTGGATTTTACATAAAAATTTAGGTATAAAATTTCATTTCCCTCAAGGTATTTATGTGTGTTGGCTTTTCAAAACATTTAGACAGTAATCAAATTTGATATTTTCTGATCTATTTGGGTCTTGCTTCTAGTGAAGGAAAGGGCAGGTATCACAAATTTCAAGGAGTCATGGACAAAATGCACAGCTGCCTTCTCAGAAATGGTCTCCTCCAACCCCAGAAAAATGAGGAATTGATTTCTCCTTCCCCATCTTGAACATATGCTCTTTAAAAATCCCCCATGGTTGTACATGGTTTTGAGCTGCAAATTACTAGAGTATTTTTTCCCCCTAAAGGATTAGAGCTGCTTCCTGACTGACCACTTCATCTTTTATTGAGAGGGAGCTTCATCCTCTAAAAGCATTTTCCCCTTTAAAAGTCATTTCAGTTGCATTTAAGAAACATCCATTATTATCCTTCCAGAGACTGATTTTTCACAGGACATTAGAATGAGATTAATCATCTTTGCCTATCAAGAAGTATAGGCTTGATTAAGTCAGTCAAGGACATTAAATTCCAGCTTTGCTCACTCTGCTGACATACCAATGCTGAGTTGAGGGAGAATTTGTGAAAGTATCATTTGGTTGGAATTGTGAGCCTGTCTCTTTAAATCTAAAAAAAAAAAAAAACCGCTTTGAGAAGCTGTAGAGAGAAGGTGCTAGAACTGTGTACGATCATGACTGGAAAGCAGGATCCCTCAGTGACTGCCGGATCTTGCCAGCACAAGCCAGAGAGGCTATTCAGCCCAAGCCTCCACTGATCCTAGGCAGAACGATGATCCTACCGACCAGATCTCAAATAAAACCAAACTGAGAACGCAGCTCGTCCAAGGGAATGAGGCGGAGGCTGGCTTTTATGTTAAAAGCCACCAGCATCCTCCCTGCTAGACATGGACATGACATTTTTAAAGGAATTATTTGGTTACAGCGTTTTAAGCAAACCGTTCTAAGGAGTCTGTACATTGCATTGTTTTTTCGATTCTTTTTTTCTTTTGCATATATGTAATTCTGGAGGTAAAGAAAAAGCCTGCCAGGGATTCAGAAGGCATCCCACTAGCGATCAGCTGACATCCCTAACTGGAGGCTGCAATGTGTTGCTTATTCATTTTGTACCGTGGGAGCTGCGGGGACTAGCAGAGACTAAACTATGCATTTCAAACAGCAGCGCTTGAGCAGAAAGAGGGGTGAGAGAGAGGCAGCCGGCGAGGAAAGAGCACAGCTGGACTTTCTCCTTGTTTTTATCCATTTCTGCAGGGTCATGTATTCATAAGGGATGAGGCGGGCCACGGCGATCCCAGGCCTGAGCCGCGGCCTACCCAGTCAGTTCAGAGCCAGGCCCTCCACTATCGGAACAGAGAGCGCTTTGCCACGATCAAATCAGCATCTTTGGTAAGCAAACACCCCTCTATCCACCTTCCCTTCCTCCCCTCCTCCCTGTCTGGCAGCCTCTCGCCCTCCTTGAGCCTTTCTCGGCTTCATGGATGGGAGAAGAGTCAAGAATGTTTTCTCCTTCCTAATGATTTTATTCATTTTAGAAAAAAATCTGTTGGCATAGCAACCTGATCTCAGATATTTTAGCATTCTGTATGGCATGGGGGGGAACCTTTGTGCGCGCGCGTGTGTGTGTGTGTGTGTGTGTGTGTGTGTACATGCCATATGTGCAAAATGTAAGACCTATGAGCTGAGTTGCTACCCTATCCAATTTTTTAAAGGCTATCTGTCTTCTCATTGAAATAAATAATGCTAAAAATATTTTTAAATGTATTGATGTACGTGTATGGAGGCACTAGGCTTCTTTTTTGTATAGATGCATGTGTGTCTATAATGTATACACACATCGAAAGATAAAACACAAATTTTTAAAATATATGGGTGCCGGCATAACGTCTGTCATTGTAGAAGAATCAGATACTTGCTGCCCAGGGATGGATTGCTGGTTCGTTCTGATTCATTCATTTATTTATTGCAACAATGGTAGTGGCTGTACTTCCCCCATTTAACCCCTGAAGAATTCCCTGACACCAATAAAGCAAGCAGGGCTTTACAGGAGAGGATAGAAGTGATTGTAGAAGAAAAAGGACTGTAGGATTCTTCAGCATTTTTACTATTGCAAATGTGATTGCTGGATGCCCTTGTAGTAGCAAAAGGGGTGTGTGCTGGAAGAGTTAGTTTTCATGCCTCCTCCCCTCGGCCCCCCACGCGTGCGCGTGCGCGCTGGCACACTCACACACACACACATCATTTCATCCTTGGCATTCCAAACTCTCCTTAATGTTTTCCTCCTGAATCTCACTTCTCAGCCAAAAAATTATGGAAATATTGGTTGTTTTGCCCAGATTGATGTTAGAGGTCACATGGGCAGGAAGAGTTAGTGTATGCTGCTTAGCTATTACATTTAGAACCTGTGATGACATCATCCAAGGCCGGCCCAGAAATGATGGTTTTTCTTGTCCTATTTTTCAAGCCTGATTGCTACTTATACTCCCCAAGTCTTTTATAGGCTCCAGTTATGTTTGAAATGTAAAATGGATTATAATCTTTAAAACCCCAAGTATAAAGAAAATGGAAGTTAAAGTACCTTACCTTATTGCTTGTGCCTACTGCTGTCTAAAAGCAAGCAATTTAATTTGGACTGCTTATAAATAATTCCACTCTTAAGTTCCTTTATAGTGAAGTTTCTTGTTATCTCTTTGATGGGCAATTTTCCATTTTGAAGGAATGCTGTTCTGTGTAATGGAGGTCTTAAAATGTCCACTCTGTATTTGCTAATGCTTGTTAAGCACCTAAAAATGTGCTTTGGAGTCTGAATAAAGCATCATGGGATTACTAAGTAATAATGATCTTCAGGCCATGATACCTGACCAAAGAAGAAATATGGTATTTGGGAGAACTGTCACTACTTCCCACATACACTCTGTGAGCCTTCTGCCTCTTGCCCAACCTGCTCATGCTGAAGGGAGAGGAGGAATGGTGGAGAGCCTCAACACCATGGGCAGGATTTGCATGGAGTCTCCCTTCTGAGACAGGCTCTCTTATTTCCCATTGCCACACCCTCATTCCCACATCATATATTCATGACTCTCTCCTCCCTCCCCACAAGACTCTACTACAGCCAGGTCAGAATAGTCTCACGCTGGCCTCTGTGAGCTCATGCAGGGCTCCTCTGTGTGTATTACAGCCATCACAGTCTTCCTCTCTGTGGAGAATAAAGCTGCCTCCCTGCCAGGCCGCTTCCGGCTATGGGCAAAGTCCTGAGGAGCCCCTCTGAATCCTGCAGGCTTCGTAGTCCTGTACAGGGAGCTGCAGGGACCCATCTCTCTGATGGACTCCTGATTTACTAAAAGGCCCCTGCTCCTATGTTAAGTCAAAAACAGAGTAGCTGACCGGCTGTTGCTTTAGCCACAAAAATAAGTCATTTTTGTGGCACACCCTCTGCAAATATAACACTTTTCAGGAGTCATGGTAGGATCCATGGAAGTTTATTAGAGTCAGTGGTGTTTGTATCTAGTGATTTTGAGGGAGAAACATAAACCAATGGAAGGGAGAAGTGGTGTGGTGTCCTGTGGCTCCACATCCCGCTTTGGACAACCTCACTGTTTGATGTGTGTTATGAAATACTATAGGTCTACCGTTGCTTCATTTCAAAGGCCAGTTCCAACAGGAGTACATAGGTCAGGACACTGGGATATCATAAAGAAGTATTCAATCTTTTAAAATATGTCATGAATTCTATTGTTTTTCGTGGATCTCAGCTCAAATAAAGGACTAAAATGGCGTAAGTAATGAGAAAGGGAGACCATGGGAAAATGAAGGTCCAGTATAACAAATAATAATAATGAATGAATAATCAAGGTATTGTTGAAACCTCGCTTAGCTTCTCCTGGTTGGTAGCAATACTGTATTGATTGATTGACTGATTGATTTTGGTTATTTTTTTTCTTCATAGTCTTTAGTAGAGGTGTTAACAAGCCATGGAGAGGTCCAAAGGGAACAGCAAAAAGGGGAGGAATTTAGAAATTAGTTTTCAACTATGAACTAAATAAATATGAGAATGTATTTTATATTTATTTATTGCAGTAATAGAGTTTGAACTTGTGCTTGGTAGGGAGGTACTCTACCACTTGAGTCATGCTCCCAGCCTAAGAACATGTTTTAAATGAACCTGCGAACTAATACAAATATTACTGCTAAAATTCGTTTTATGAACCTACTTCTTAAGAAGTCTTCCTTTGGGATCTCTCCCCTCCTTGTGACTCTGATTTTATTGTGCTTCTGATTGAGGTTCCTGACAGGTGTTTAAAGCCCATGAGCTCCTGACTCTCACTGTTGAATGTTTTTCTGATTTGGGAACCTTAAAAATTGAGATTTCTGTGTTATTGGGCACTGCTCTACAATTGCATTTGTAACACAGGGACCACGGAAAGGCCCCCAACCTTGGAAGCAGAGTAAACTTTAGAATTGTAATTTTGTTATTATAATCTCCTAAAGGCACAGATTATTAACCTCATTTTGAAGCATTAGGAAAAAGAAGGGTACTTCATGGCATCTTTTTAATTATTATTTTATGCTTCCTTTTTCTTCTTCTGTAAGGAAGTTCCCATTGAGCTGGTTGGCAATCTGAAGGAAAGTATTGTTTATTTAGTTCTCCAGAATTACAAATCTGATTACTTGGCCCTTCGAGATAGGCTTTCCATGAGTTTTTATTGTTGGTGAGTGGAGATCCCCATGTTTTAACTATATTAGTGACCCAGGAGAGTGTTTTTGGCTGTTGCTACATTGAAAGTCACTTCTTAAAATTTTCTAATGTCCTAGGTCCCTAACTCTTTCCTTATAGATGTTAATATAAAAAGCACCAAAAAACTATGAGCACATGATAAAAGCGAGAGCACACAAGGGAGGGGTGAGGATAGGTAAGACACCTAAAAAACTAGCTAGCATTTGTTGCCCTTAACGC